CCAAAAGATGGAGAAGGAAAAGACGAAGATCCAGAGTTTGACAATATCATTAGGTAAAAAGCCAAATATGAAATGGAATGACATGGCTGGGCTTGAAAGTGCCAAACAGGCATTGCAAGAGGCTGTGATATGAAGGGTACTGTGCCTCCATAAATGGAGGGTAGATATTGTCGCTTTAAAACATTTTTCCCCTATTTTTTATCCTCTTTTAATGAAAAAATGGATTGATTTTGGATGGAAGGACCTGTTATTGAAACAAAACAAAAGGCTTAGATTTAAATAACTAATATACAAAAATAAGAGAACGAGATAATTAATTTATAAAAATTGAAGGATTAAATAATTATTTTCTCTTAATTATATTCAAATTCATAGAATTGAATTCATATAATTGAATTCATATAATTGAATTCTTCATTTTTTTTATGCTAAACACAAAAATTGAATTTATAAATAAATTCCATAAAATTTTGTGGAATTCATTTATTGCAAATTAGGAGTAAATTTCAAATTCTTAATAATAAAATCCTTGGAAAATTGAGAAGCACTAAAAAAAAAAAATCCATCTCAACAAAATTAATATATGAATTAAAAATTCATCATGACACCATTGGTAGATTTTGAATAGCAAGTATCCAAAATCTTAAATCTACTTAGAATTACGTATTAGATATCAAATTTAATATTTATACTCATTCTAACTCTGTCTGATTAATATTTAAATTTGCTTTAAATAGATTGAAACAAATTAAATATCATAAAGATACCACCCAGCTTCCATCAATACAAATAATTAACTCACTGTAAATTATTTTTAAACATGATAATCAAAATCGAAAATGGTTGATACACCATTAATATAATTCACTCGAGAAAAAATGCATTAATCTTTTTTTTTTTTTGAGTAAAAATGCATATCCTATTAATAAAAAGAAAATAAAAAAAAATTCTTCTCAGTGGTTGTGAGATTGTTTGTGTTGTGGGTAGAGGTAAGTATTTGTTCGTTTGAGTAATATTTTAACTGTATTTTTTTATTTAAATGAATTTAATCAAATTAGTTTTTTAATCAAATCTACTTAGTTAAATTAATTTTGATCATCAATCGAACCAATGTTAAAGAAAATGAAAACTTAGTTTTTTAACTGAATCTACTTAGCCAAATTAATTTTGATCATCAATCGAACCAATGTTAAAGAAAATGAAAACTTAGTTTTTTAACTGAATCTACTTAGCCAAATTAATTTTGATCATCAATCGAACCAATGTTAAAGAAAATGAAAACTTAGTTTTTTAACTGAATCTACTTAGCCAAATTAATTTTGATCATCAATCGAACCAATTCCTTGGACTCGAAGAGTTGGAGAGAAGCCACTAAAAAAAAAAAATCCATCTCTAACAAAAATTAATATATGAATTAAAAAGTGTGTTCAGTACATCTTGCACCATTTGGTAGAAATGTTGTATATAGCAAGGTGATCCAAAATTCTTTAATCTATTGCTCTCTAGAGATTAATCTCGTATTTATAAGATTATTACAAATTTTAATTTATCATTGTTTTTTATAGCTCTATCTTATATCTCTCTTGTTGTCTCCTAATATATTAAATTTTGCTTTAAAATAGACTTGAAATCACATATATTTATTAAATATACATATAATGTGTTACCACCAGCTTCCTATCAGTACGAGAGATCTAACTCACTGGTAAGAATTAATCTTAATTAAACCATGATAATCCAAAAATCGAAAATGCGTAATACCCACCCATTGAAATATAATTCACTCGGAGGATATATATAAATATGCTATAATCGCACTTTTTCTTTTAATCTCTCTTTGTTTTTAGAGCGGTGGAGTAAAAAAAATGCAATATTCCTATTTTAATAACGCATAATATATAAAATAAAATACTTTATATCTTCTAGTGGTTTGTCGAGCATTGTATTCTATGTTGCTCGCGGTAGAAGACGTAAGTATAATTTCGTATATTTGTTCGTTGTGTTGAGTAATATTTTAACCTGTATTTTTTATTTATTTTATAAAAATGAATTTAATCAATTAAGGTTTTTTTAATTTAAATCATTACTTACGTTTAAAATTAATTTGATTTGATCAATCAATCGAATATATACCCAATTGTTTAAAGAAAATGGAAAAAAAACTTTTAGTTTTTTTTTAACTGTGAAAATCTACTTAGCCAAATTAATTTTGATCATCAATCGAACCAATGTTATAATATGGAAAAATGAATAATTTCTAAATGAACTTAAAAAAATTATTTATTAAAATTTATAACCTAGGCTTTTTAATTTTGAGTAAGGGGATTAAAAAATTAATCAAAGTAATTATTAAGAGTCTACTTACGTAAATTTAAAAAAATAAAACTTAAATACATTCAATAAGGATAATATCAAAATAAAATATACTGAAGTAATTTTTAATTTTTATAAATTCCTCTTATTCAAATCCACTTAATCCAAAACGAGCGTTAGTTAGTCTAGAGAACTAATTGTATTGTGAGATGATAAAGTAATTTAAATTCAGATTTAAATTAGACTATATAAAATTTGAGCTTAGAAGAAGAAATTTAATTACTTAAAGATTTTCATTTTAATCTTGAATTTTTTTCTTTATTGGACCGAGTATTTATTCAACCGAAATCAAATTTCTTCGCGAATATTCTTGGTTTATTAGACATTCAAATTTGGGCAGTATAATTGTCACCTTGAATAGAGTGCTCATCCCCCCAAGCTGGCTGGACTATGGGACAAGAAAAACAAGTCCAATTAGCATATATTATTGTTTATAGCGAAACAGATGGGCCAGAAAAGGACTTTTTAATCGGGCCTACTACTAAACCCAATCCATTTTGGCCTCAAACTTCAAATCCATTAACTCCTCTTTTTGTTCTCCCCAAGACTTCCCTGAGTTGAAAATACGGCATCCCACTTCCCTCGCTTTTCCTGTTTCTATTTTCCCTCGCTTTTTCTCTGCAACCTGCCAAAAACGGGACAGCCTCATGAACAGCTAACAACGCCCAACAACCAGAAAGCGGCCAAACTCGCGCTGTTAAAGCCGATAGCATCACAATCCCGCTTCCCAAACAGCCGGCCAGCATGCGTACAATTCCAGACAGCAAGTAACTACACCTCCGTGAGATGAAGAATTACATTCTTTCCCGTCTCGGACGAGAGGTTTGCTCTATACTCTTACCTTTTTTGTATGACCCTCAATGTGTGACGCGCGCATGAACCTCATAGTCCATACCAGGACCTCACATTTCCCCAAGTCACGCTCGGCCAGTCTTCTCCTGGTCCCTGAAGCTCTTTTCGCGTCTATACCAAAGTGTGGCACCGACCGGCACCCATGTTCTCACGGAACTTTTTCTTGGTCTAACCCAGCACGCAAATACTTCGTTCAGTCATCAGTGGTGGTAGTCTTCAGTAAACTATTACAGTCTCGTCTTTCCAATTAATGAGTAGCTTAAATGTGTGTGTCTCTCCCAGTGTATTGCTTTTTGTATGTTTTTCCAGTGAAATAATTTGATTGGATTGATATATCAAGAAATACTGTTCCGGCAGTAATTATCAGTCATTTTTTGGAGATTGATTAGTGTTAATTGGAGACAGTCACAAGGAACTGCTGGCCTGACTAGGATCAAGGAAAGTATTAGCAGGCTTTAATTATCAGGTCACTAAACATAATATTTTGCGTGCAATACAGATTGATATTTGTATAAATGGGAGAAATTGTCACAAGGTCTATTCTAAGCGTAGGTTAAGTTTCAATACTATGGTTATGTCTCAGATCCGTTTCTTCTTAATACAACCATTAACATTATACATGTCTACACATAAAATTAAAAATGACAGACAGGAGTCTTTCTCAAGATGTTACGTTACTCTCCTTCATAATGATTTCTTTTTTCCTCAATTTCATACTTCTTAATTGGGGATTCTAAAACTCACATGCTGGGTGATTCTTTGTATGTGCGTGAATAAGGGCGCTTTCAAAAAACATGTTAAACTAAAACCATTTATAATATTAATAATGTACCGGTTTTGAAATTTGGTCAGATTTTCTCATTTTGAGGGCAAACTTTAACTACAACATGCGTGCGTTCCTGTTTTAGTAATTTATAAGGTAACCCAGTGCGAACCCTATTGCTAAACTTTATTTGCGTCCACGTATAGCCTGACCAGCTCGCTCACCTTTGGATTGCGCTGGGACATCAATCGAACCAATGTTAAAGAAAATGAAAACTTAGTTTTTTAACTGAATCTACTTAGCCAAATTAATTTTGATCATCAATCGAACCAATGTTAAAGAAAATGAAAACTTAGTTTTTTAACTGAATCTACTTAGCCAAATTAATTTTGATCATCAATCGAACCAATGTTAAAGAAAATGAAAACTTAGTTTTTTAACTGAATCTACTTAGCCAAATTAATTTTGATCATCAATCGAACCAATGTTAAAGAAAATGAAAACTTAGTTTTTTAACTGAATCTACTTAGCCAAATTAATTTTGATCATCAATCGAACCAATGTTAAAGAAAATGAAAATTTAATGAACTAAAATTTATAATTAACCGGCTTTAATTGAAATAAAAATTAATCAAAGTTATAATCACTACGTAATTAAAATAAAACTGAATACTTCAAAAAAATCAAAATAAAAACTGAAGTATTTTTAATTTTTAATTTTATCATCCACTTAATCAAAACGACGTAGTTCTGAGAATATATTAATTTGATTAATTCAGTTAAATTAGCTTTTAATATATTACAGAAAATTTAATTTTTTTTTACTGAATTTTTAGCCGAATATTTATTCACCGAATCAAATTGCGAATTTGTATATCAAATTGGTCCAATTGAATGATCACCCCTGACTATGGGAAAGAAAACAGCCAAAGCTATTTATTGGCGAACAGATGGGCCAGAAAGACTTTTAACCCTACTACTAAACCCAATCCATTTTGGCCTCAAACTCAAATCCATAACTCCTCTTGGTTCTCCCCCAAGACTTCCCTGAGTTGAAAATACGCTCCACTTCCCTCGCTTTTCCTGTTTCTATTTTCCCTCGCTTTCTCTGCAACCTGCCAAAACGACAGCCATGAACAGAAACGCCAACACCAGAAAGCGGCCACCGCCGACATCACAACCGCCCCAACAGCCGCCAGCAGCGAAGCAGCAAGTAACTACACCTACCGTGGATGAAGACTTCGTGGACGAGGATGTCTTCCTTGATGAAGCCCTCATTGCCGAAGACGAGGAGAACCTCATCCTCCAGGACCTCAAGCAGCGCCAGGCCCTGACTTCTCGTCTCTCCAAGTGGGCCCGCCCGGCCCTGTCTCACGGCTACTTGGCGCAATCTCAGAGCATCAGTGAGTAACTTCAGCGCTTCCCAATAATGAGGCTAATTTTCTCCATTATTGCTTTTTCTTTTTTCCGTGAAATTTGATGGATTGATTTCACTGTTCAGTATTTCAGCAATTGGAGATTGATTATGTAATTGGAGACAGTCACAAGGAACTGCTGCCTGATAGGTCAGGGTTAGCAGCTATTATCAGAATTTTTGGTGTCACAAGGGAAGGTTAGGTTAAGTTCATAAATTATGTCGGTCTTTCTTTATAAATTAACTTTTTCTAAAAAATAACAATCTCAAGTGAGTTTCTGATTCTTTTTTCCTCAATTTACTAAATTTGGGGTGTTTGTATGTGCGTGAAAGCATTTTCAAACTGTTACTAACTATATAATAATGTAGGTTTTGAAATTTTATTTGGCAAACTTTAACTACAACTACTCCCTGAATTTATTGGTAACCAAGTGCACCAATTTAAACTTATGGCGTTAGGTACAGCTTCTCACTTGGTGCCTGGGAATCTTTCTGTGAAGCAATGATAGACGGATTGTTAGAATGTTGCATAAGTTACCCAACATGAATATGTTAAATGGATATATTCCTTTTTCTTTTTTTAGGACATAGTGTTTGCTGCAATGTACATGGGTTTGAGCCATATTTTTACATTACTTGCCCTCCTGGAATGGGTCCTGATGACATCTCCCGCTTTCAACAAGTTCTTGAGGTAATTAGTTGTACCACTTGCTCGTCCTAATACATGTTTAATGTCTTTTTTTTTTAATATATATACCGAACCACATTCATCGTCTCAATTTAGCATCTTTGCTCTTGATTTTTAAGGGGAGGATGAGAGAGGCAAACCGGAACAGTAGAGTTCCCAAATTTGTCAGCCGAATAGAAATGGTGCAAAAGAGGAGCATTATGTATTACCAGCAACAGCCTTCATATCCATTTCTGAAGATTGTAGTCGCATTACCAACAATGGTGACGAGTTGTCGCGGTAAACATCTTATTTTTTTGAATAGACATTTACGCTTTCTAATTTACAGTAATTTGTGTAGTATGATACATAAAGTTGCTTGCATTTTGATAATTGTGGTAAATTCTATCTTTGGACATGTCCCAATCATTTGCAGGCATTCTTGACAAAGGCATACACATTGATGGCCTTGGTATGAAGAGCTTCATTACATATGAAAGCAATGTTCTTTTTGCTCTCCGCTTCATGATTGATTCCAACGTTGTTGGTGGAAATTGGATTGAAGTACCTGCTGGAAAATATAAGAAGACGTCAAAGAACCTGTCCTATTGCCAATTAGAGTTTGATTGCTTGTATCCTTGTGAATGGAATATTATGATTTCCTTCAAGAGAATGTTTCAATTCCTCTTGCCAATTAGATAAATTCATTCCTTAATTAATGCTCACAGGTATTCAGAATTAATCAGCCATGCCCCTGAAGGGGAATTCTCAAAAATGGCTCCTTTTCGGATTTTGAGTTTTGATATTGAGTGTGCTGGCCGTAAAGGTCATTTTCCTGAGCCTACCCATGATCCTGTTATTCAAGTATGTTCTTGGTTTCAATTGTCTTTCTTCAATCAAGCAATCTAGTTGGTTGGCTATATATCTTCACTGCCGCTGAATTCAAATTGTTCATTTCATTCTAGGTTGCCAATCTAGTCACTTTGCAGGGTGAGGACCAACCGTTTATTCGTAATGTAATGACCTTAAACTCATGCTCTCCAATAGTTGGTGCGGATGTGATGTCATTTGATACGGAGAGAGATGTTCTGCTGGCTTGGAGGGTATTTTTGATTAAATTTCTCTTTGCTCTCTAAAAGGCTGGTAGACTTTGAAGCATGTTTATCATTTGACTAAATTTTCAATATGAGTACGGTTGATGTTCTATATGTTTAATATTCCTTACCTACAATTGTTGTAGAATGGTAGATTTGGAGGATTACTTTTTCAATAAAATACCCATAAGGTAACAAAAATATGAGAAATTTTAAACATTAACTTGTTCTATAGCAAAAATATTGGAAAAATTTTTATAATACGGGACTATGTGTGTGTTTTATGTGAACATAACTCAGTTCTCATTCTTAGTGAAACTTGGAGCTATTTGCATTTGATCATTGGGAAGGAATTATTTTTTGAAATATTAGTGTTATTTGCTTGTTTCTGATATTGATGATTTCCACTGTTATTTACTTTTTATGATAGCTATAAAGGCTGTTGGTAACAAATTGCTTCATTCATAGTGTGATTGGAACCTTAAGTGCATCAGACAACCATCTGAAATTGCTCCCCTGTCTTTCCCTCTTCCTTTCTCCTTTAACAGATACTAAGTTGAAGTTCACAATCTGTTTTGCTGATTGATGTCATGCTAAAAAAAATAAAAAAAAAACCAATAGGTGTACAATCTGGTCTTTCAGTTTGAGAGGATTTTGGGCAAGCTCTATAGCAGAAATAAAAACTATTTATGAATTTCTCAAACAAAATTTTGACCATCTTTGACTACAGAAATCAAACTAACCAAACTGGTAGTTTGGTTGGACATGCACAATGGTTTTGGTAAAATAACTTTATTTTATTTTATTTTATTTTATTTTAAATTCTACAATGGTGGCTTCACTTATCAAACACTTCAATATGAGTGCCTTAAAATACTCCTTCTGGGTACATGCAATTTAAACTGAATGACAAAAAATTATAATATAGATTTCTGGCCTAATAATATCTTAACTTTAATATCAGTTGATTAATCCCTGTACTAATTTTACAATCAGGCCTGCTGGTTTATCTAACTAGAGGATACTTGGTACATTTTATGGTATAATTAGCTGGTTTTATTTGCAGGATCTTATCCGCGAAGTGGACCCAGATATCATAATTGGATATAATATCTGCAAGTTTGACTTGCCATATCTCATTGAGGTATTAGAAGTTTCCTTTATTCTCCACGTGCATTTTCATAGTGGAAAGTCTTCAATTTTGTTTTCTAGCTTTTTCTTGAGGTGTATTTTGTTTTTATGGGCAAAATTTTCTTAAGTTTTCATTTTTTTCCAGTTACAGTTGAATAAATCTGACATGTTATTTTTTTGCTTGGTTTATAGAGAGCTGAAACTTTGGGAATATCAGAATTTCCTATACTGGGTCGTATAAGGAATAGCAGAGTTCGGGTCAAGGATACAACTTTTTCATCAAGGTACTTTTATTTTTACAGGAAAAAACACGCACAGACACACTCAGAACTAAACTTCAAGGTTTCACCTTTGCCTTGTTTATTGCAATTTATAAAATCCCTATTCCACTGTTTTCTGTTAAGATTTTAATAAATTTGTTTGAGGGTTCTTGCTCTAGTCTCATTATTTCTTTCCATCTCTCAATGATTGTCTTAGGACTTAGGAAGCGCTGACCTATGTTGGGGATGAGCATTTCCTCCAGTAGAAATCTAGCAATTCTTATTTAGACTTTAATTAGAACTATCTATCCTAACCCAAAAGTATAAGATATTAAGCAATAATGCTAAAAATATTAAGTTAACGACTCTTATGTTTATTCTTTGTGGGATCTTCAACTCTAGCACTCCCATGATGTGTGCTAGCCTACTAGCGCTTTACATAATTGTATTAGCATTAGGTGCCACTAACGTGTTGCTCCGAGCATATCATAAGAGAAGCAAACATTTGGTGAAAATGTGGCAAGGGGCCCAAGTGCACATGCTGAAGCAATATGCAAGCAGAGATTGGGGTTTAGAACAAGTTTTGGCATCATGCTAGAATGCTTTATTGGACAACTATTTTGCACAACTAAAGTAAGCAAATGAGATCTCTTCTTGATAAAGTAGATGTTTGTTGTGACTTGATCACAAGTCAAAGGCTCAAAGAAAATTTGGAAATAGTTTTCCTTTCTTATTCATAGTCCTAGAATTTTAAGAACACTATCCTTCCTTTTTCATTTCAGATGTGAAATATGTTGATTTGCTTCTCATTTTAATGTAGGCTTTTAGTTACCTCTTGAATGAGTGCACGTTTGTTTTCTTGATTGTTTTGCCAAGTGTTGGAGACTTTAATGGTTTATTCTCTGAAAAACAGCTAGATCATGATATCTTGTCTTCCCTTCTCTTCAACCAAATTACTTCATCTCTCAAACTCTTGTCAATGATATTCTCCACTTTATTTTTGTCCGTATCATTCCTGTCTATTGAAGTTTATAGCATGTGTTCCCCATGTCACTGCTGTTCCCTTTCATCCGTTTTTTAGCTCCTCAGTTTATATTCTCACCATCTTGCCTGCTGTTTCGATCAAATATCCTGGTAACTTTCTCATATTCTATGTTCCTAAACATGTCATACTCTTGTTTACTAACCTCATTACCTGCAACCGTTCATTGTTATGTTGAAGCTGTTATTTGTGTTTCACATATTTAGGTGCATATTATAGTTGTGATTCCTATCTTGGCTTAATTTTTTCTTTCTTATGTAAACCCAATAAGCTATTATTTCCGTTTTCTTTTACTTAATTTGTTGAAAAACCCTTTTATTGTGAAACTGTGGTATTAATGGGAACATTAGATTATGACTTGGATTCAACTAACTGGGTCACCCTCAACTTGGAAGTTTGCTTAATAGGATTTTTTTTCCCCCTTAGATTTAGTGTTTAACATTTTATATCTCATAAAATACTAAAACCTGTGCTTCTATCATACTGTTTGATGCATGATAGATGATATTATTAATATCAATTGAGTATAATTTGATCCATGACTTTCCTTTAGGCTCACTTTCTGGGTCTTAGTGGTTTTATAGTTGAAAGATTGTACATTAGTAATTTTTTTGCTGTTGCAGACAGTATGGAACAAGGGAAAGTAAAGAAGTTACATTGGAAGGGAGAGTTCAGTTTGATTTGCTTCAGGTCTTGTGCAAATTGTGTTTGCTTTCCTTGGTTACATACTTGGTTTTGATGAAATAAAAATTCAGTTAGTTATATTGTTTTCCTTTGGTTGCAGGCAATGCAACGGGATTATAAATTAAGTTCTTACTCCTTAAATTCTGTCTCAGCACACTTTCTTTCTGAGCAGGTAAAATTTGGGTTTTTTTTTTTTTTTTTTTTTTTTTTTTTTTCTCTGTTATCTTTTTACTTAATTTTGCTTGACTAAAACCCTTTTTTATTGTGAAAACCTGCATACTTTTATGAGGTCTCAATTACATGGGAACATTAGATATGACTTGGATTTCAAAATAACTGGGGTTACACTCCTCAACTTGGAAGTTTGCATAGGATTTTTTTTCACCCTCTTTAGATTTATAGTGTTTAACATTTTATAGTCTCATAAAATACTTAAATTACCTGTTGCTTCTATCATACTGTTGATGCATGATTAGATTATATTATTAATACTCAATGGTAGCCCTATAATCTATAGATCCAATGACTTTCATTAGGTCTTTCACTTTCTGTATTAGGTCTAGATGGAGTAGTATATAGCGTGAACTAAGATTTATGCTACATATGAGCTAAGTTTTTTGGCGTCGATGCAGACAGATATGGACAAGAGACAGTATTAAGAGAAGTTTTACATTTGGAAGGAGAGTTCAGGTTTGATTGGCTTTCAGGTTCTTGTTGCAGATTGTTGTTTGCTTTCCTTAGGTTGTATATTACTATGGTTATGATGAAATAAAAACTATCGTTAGTTATATTGTTTCCATTCTGGTGTGCAGGCAAAAAATGCAGCGGGAATTATATAGCTTTCTTACTCCTTAAAAGTTCTTAATGTCTCATGCAACACTTTGTTTCTTGAGCAGGTAAAATTGAGTGTTTGTGTTTTTTTGTTTCTCTCTTTTTTGAGTAGTGACTCATAAGTGAAATTTTTTGTCTTCCTTAGGTTTCTTATAAACTATCTAATCAAGTGGGCACCTATGACCCTCTGTTTGTATGTCTAAATATTGTTAATACATAAACCTATGTAGCATTTAATTTTTGGGACAGGGTTTTTTTTTTTTTTTTTTTTTTTTTTGAGATAACTCAAGTGAATTTTTCCTTTTAGGTTCAACACCTATAAGTGGGCCCGCTCTGTTTGTTATGTCTAAATTTGTTAATACTAAACCATGTGGGATTAATTTTGGCAGAGTAAAATATTTATAACTTTTCCTTCCTACGAGCAAAGTACAACCTTTTCCATTTGCTATTGTTGATTACTATTCTGTCGCCTCTGTAAATTTGCATTTGTTGCCTATCCTATAAGATAATAAGATTGGCAATGAAGGCATCAATTGCAATTGTAAACAACAAAAACGTTATTGGCTCTGAGTTTCCAATTGCACCTAAACTATTTTTGGGTCATTTTGGGTCTGAACTTGCATATGGTTGTTTCCCTCCTTCTATTTTTTATTCAGAGTTTTTCTTCTTTCTTATTATGGAACTTCTATAGTTGGTGATGATGCACCATTCATGTCGTGCAGAAAGAGGATGTCCACCATTCGATAATATCTGATCTTCAGAATGGGAATGCAGAAACTAGGAGGCGGCTTGCAGTATATTGTTTGAAGGTGCGTGGTTTAGTTTGAGTACACCTTCCATTGCCTTCTTCCTCTATTCGCCCTGACTAGGCTTCTACCTTAATATTAGATATTTTCAAACTTGATATAATGAAACTGAGAATCCCTGCCGCTTATTCATTGATGTTTAGTCCTAATTACTATTAATTGCAAATCGTGTATAATACATTCTCCTTTGGGGTTTGCAGGATGCTTATCTCCCACAACGGCTCTTAGACAAGCTGATGTACATTTATAACTATGTGGAAATGGCTCGTGTTACAGGCGTCCCAATATCTTTCCTTCTTTCAAGGGGACAAAGTATTAAGGTTACAAGATTTCATTGCTCATGAACTGTTGATTGATATTATTAGATGATCAGCCTAATCAAGTTTAGGATGTGACCTCTGTTTTTCAGGTACTCTCTCAACTCTTGAGGAAGGCCAAACAAAAAAACCTTGTTATTCCAAATGTCAAACAGGCAGGATCTGAACAGGGAACATATGAAGGCGCCACTGTGAGTGAATACATCCACTTGTCGATGCTTCTCATTTGTTTACTGTTTTAAGCACTAAGGTAATTTTGAGCTGATTTTGTTCATATATTTATCTAGGGTTTTTTTTCACTTCCATAAGCTTATCATTCTAGAATTTAACATAATGTACTCTCAACCATATAAATCAGTCATTGGTGATTGATTTTCATTAAGGATTTGCACATAGCAATAGTTATAAAGGTGCAGGGCGCACTAAGGGACAAAAGCTCTTGGATGCTAGGTGCAAGGTAGGCACAGGCATGCGCCTGAGAAACAAGAGGCAAGAAATATGTACTTTAAGGTTAAAAAAGAGATATTTATGATTGATAATTTGTTTCTGCATAAAAATGTGGTATTTGATATCCATAAAAACAACAAAGTGATAAAGTTAATACAATTAAAAAAGGTTGTTTATGGTGAGAGCAGGGACAAAAAGAAAGAGAAATAAAAAGATAAAAAATGTAGCTGAATATTATTGTTTAAATAAAAGCAGGTATAGTGGGGAAAAAAGAAGAAGAAACAAATAAGAATTAGAGCAACCAGAGACAGGCATAAAGAAAACCGAAATCAAGGCAGGAGGATAGGGACCCAAGGTGTATGGATGCCGGAAATGGAATTACAGCAGTGGGCAACTCAAGGAGTGGTGGTCCAGTCAAATCCCACACTTGCTTGCGATGGAGATGGCATTTCTTGCAACTTTTCAGTGCATGGACGCTGGATTCTTGTACATAGACCAATTCTGAGTCTACTTATGGTGGCCATGAGTCAATCGATTTAGTTATATTCTTCTTTTTCTTCTTCTTTTTGTGTGTGTTCGTGTGTGTGTGTGTCTGTGTGTTTGTGCGGGCATGTAGATTGCACCAGCATGATTCCTCCCCCTTTTTTCTCTCTTCTTTTTGTTGAGGGGAGTTAAAAGACTAGTTGAATGTGTTGTTTAGGTAGTACTATACTTGCTGACAGTACCAACCTGAAGTAAAAAAGGCTAGCTCTTTCTTGAAACTCTCCAGTTCATAAGGGAATTTAGTATGCATCTTTGTGAGTGCAGATTCACAATTACTTCTCCTTTTTTAAAAATTTTCTTTATTGGTTCCTTACCTTTCTTCCTTTTCTAATATTTTCATAATTTGATGTAATCTTGGTGACCTCTCTGCAATTGGTGTACATCAACTTGCCAATGCAGTGGGTGATAGAAGTTATCATGTATAGTGATGGATCTAATTTTGTGAATAAATATATGGAGGCTAAAATCAATATTTGTGAAAATATTAGTACATTTTGAAAGATATAAAGAATTTTATAAAATGAAAATTGTCTCGTTAAAATTGTGACTTGGAAATCGTGCTTCTACCCATTTAGAGTTGAATCATCTTTGCCAACATTTTGAATCTTCCTAATTTCAGGTTTTGGAGGCAAGAGCTGGATTCTATGAAAAGCCAATTGCTACACTAGATTTTGCCTCTCTGTATCCTTCAATAATGATGGCATATAATCTATGTTATTGCACTCTGGTAATCATTTTGACACTGATTATATTTTTGTTGGCGTCATAAAAATATATGATGTAATTTAGGCATGGCATATATATTCGAAATGAGAAACTTTTGTACAAAATTTTTTATCCTAAGTGTTATTTGTGAAGGTTACTCCTGATGACTTCCGCAAACTCAACCTCCCACCTGAATGTGTCAACAAAACTCCATCTGGTGAGACATTTGTCAAATCAAATTTGCAAAAGGTGAAATCATTTTCTTGACATAAGTTCATTTGTTGTCATTATTATCATCATCATCTTGACCGTCATTAAATTAAATAAAATTATGCTTTCAGGGAATTCTTCCTGAAATTCTTGAAGAACTATTAGCTGCTCGAAGAAGAGCAAAAGCAGATTTGAAGGTATTTTTTACTTTGAGCAGAGTTTTTGCTTGGCTACTTTTTATTAAATCTTTATCTTTATTCTGCCTTGCTGCAATTGCCAAGTGTTCACTCTATGTTATCTATGTTTTACAACTAGGCTGCTAGGCCTTTATGCCTTATTATGGTTTTATCTTTTAGGAAGCCAAGGATCCACTTGAGAAGGCTGTTCTAGACGGTCGACAACTGGCCCTGAAGGTAAAACTATTATCTCATAGGTTGCAGGATACTCATCTGTGGTTTCACATTGTTTGGGATACTCACAATTTCCAATTGGTTTGAGATCTTTGATGTCTTGAGTCACTGCAGGTAAGTGCAAATTCAGTATATGGATTTACAGGAGCTACAATTGGCCAATTACCATGTTTAGAGATATCCTCGAGTGTTACAAGCTATGGTATTCTCATACTACATACTCAAAAATTCTAAAAATTTTGTTTTCTTAAACAATATATATATATATTTTCTATTCCTGTTTGATACATGGTATTGCATTGTAAAGGTCGACAAATGATTGAACACACCAAAAAACTCGTGGAAGACAAATTTACCATAATAGGGGGCTACGAACACAATGCTGAGGTATGCCATCAGGACTTAACTGAGTAAATTTATGCAGTATTTTAGGCTCATATCTGATATGTGATGGTTTGAAATTTTTGTTTCATAATAATAGTTATCTCAGTGGTCTTTAAAATTTCTGTTGCTTTAGTGCTAGACAAGAATAGGAAATTGAAAAAAAAAAAAAAAAAGAAGTAACCATAGTACCTGTTCAAACCTGGATGTATAAACAGAACCATGATTTAGATCTTTGTTGGCAGTCTAATTATCTGGCATAATAATGAATATATTCTGGGAATCAGTGGAAGTCTTTGAAGCTCTGAGAGACTAGTTGAAATATTCCTAAGATGGTAATGAGTCTAATAACAGGAAATGCTGAAAATATAGTGGATTCATCTGAACTCCTAAGGTTATCTCTCTTTCTAGTAGTGTGAGGAGTGAGGGGACCATAGTCGTGCTTCCTAAAAATCAATGTAGCAGCAGCTGAATTTTACATTAGTAAGCAATTCCTTTATTTTCTATGATCATTATTAATGTAATTGGGGCCTAATGCATAAAATTGCCCTTGAACTTAATGATTTTATCCTTGTGACATCCTAAACTTTTCGAGCGAGCTATCATGTGCTCTGAAGTTGCAATTTTTGCTATAACTAAGCATTTTCAGAGGCATGATGGGTCTTTAAATTTATTACTAAAAATTGCACCATCAATGCCAAGGTGCAAGGTTGTTACTAAAAATTACAACTTCAGGGCATTTGATTTGTCTCTCGAAAACTTTGTGTGCCACGAGGATAAAACCCTAAAGTTCAGGAGTAATTTTATGCATTAGGCCATGTAATTGGAGACGCTGGCTTGATTGGTAAATAAATGATACATCATCCCTTGCAAACCTGAAGAATGCTACAAGGTGGTTGCGGAGACTTTTATAGAGGAAGCAACTTCCTTGGCGGATAGATATGGAATGTTTGCATGTTGGGGTAACAATAATATTTGTGTTCATCTATGATGCATGGAAACTCCTAGACATGGGCATAATTATAGTAGAGCTGCAAGTAGCCACCTGAGGATGCATACTCGAATTTGTTTTCCATTACGTGAGCATGATAAAGAGGCATTCATCATTCTATTGCTAATTGCTTGTAGTTCTCTTTGTGGATATGTGGGAGCTAAAAATCGTAAGTGATCTGTGACTTTTGGGATTTCTTTTTTGTGCATTGGAGGTTTCTGTTCTCTCTACAACATAGAAAAAAATTAGGATTATTTATTTCAAATTCCTGTTTCCTAAGGGATTTTCTTTTTCATGCACCAAGGTGCATTTTGTCCCCTTTCGATCTTTAGTTTCAAATGCTGATGCATTATGAAAAATGTTTTCTCCATTTGCAGTTTCTCTGGTATAGTATTTCTTATGTACTTTAGAATACCAAAAATGAAGGGTTCGCTCGTTTGTTGCACACATTGTCTAAAGGCTATTTTCAGCAACCATGAACACCACGAGCAAAACTAGTCGACAAAATGATGACAATCACAATAGAGCTTTCATTTCTCACCTATTTCTGAGTCTTTTGTTTTATTTTGTTTATAATGGTTTATAATTTCTTGGCATTTGTATTTTAAATATTTTTTGAGCATGGTGTTTCCTCTTTCTTTTCCAGAATCTCTGTGATGGTTTGTGATATTTATATGATCTGAAATATACTGGTGAATTGAACAGCGCAAAATTGTCATTCTGGAAAAAAATTGTACTACTAGTTTTTACACTGCATCGACTGATTCAATGTGAGCAAGTACCACAACAATATTACCAGTTTGGGTCCAGCAGGTTCACTTTTAACCAGCCTGCCAACCCAATCCATGTACTCCTCTAACCACCATTTTTACCACCACAATCGCATGGATCTCATCTGATACTGCCACGATAACCCCCTTCCATTACCACTGTGTATGAGTGGTGTTACCCCAAAAGAGAAAAGGAAGCTCCATTTGGTTCATCAAAATCTTTTAGGAAAAGATAATTTAGCAATTTCTTGATCCAGGAATGAAAATGACCTTTAATTATCTCCAAATAGGGCCAGTAAGCTGGTTACAAATGCTTGAAGCATATACCTTATTACTGTACCTGTCCTGGCACATTCGTTTTCGGATCACTGCCGTCCTTACTTGCCAAGTCCTATTTGCCTTAGGAAATTTAATGGGTATGATTTATGTTTTAGGTTTAGGAGTTTGAATTCATCCCTTTCTTTTACATTTGGGCACTTCTCTGTGCTCCATCTGTGTATCTGTTGGTGTTTCATTGTAGTAACCTCTTTCTGAAAGTTTTACCTGTGTTAAAATTCATTATGTGAACATTAGTCTGGTTTTTTTTATCTATAGTTAATTTAAATCATGTGTATAGTTTGCATTTTCTCTCCTTTTGGAAATGTGAAGTTGGAATATGAATTTGATGTTATGAATTTTCACTGAATAAATGGATTAATCCTCTCCATTTTACCATTCTAATATCTTTTTTTTTCTTCACTAAATTTTGTCATTTTTGTGGTTAATATGGATAAAAAACCTTGCTTTTGCTGGTGCAATATGTTAAGCCTGTAGGTTTGATAATTTCAGGTTATATATGGGGACACAGATTCGGTTATGGTACAATTTGGGGTGCCTACTGTCGAAGAAGCAATGAAGTTGGGAAGAGAAGCTGCTGAATACATAAGTGGAACTTTCATAAAAGTAAGTTTTTTAATATTTTCATAATCTTCAGTTTTAGAATTAATTGTTTGAGAAATTCCTTGAAATTCTTTTTTAGTTCAAGCAAGGAATTCTAAGACTAGGATTAATAAATATCAAATAATTGATAAAATTGATAATAAAAATCTCATTTTTCTTACAATTCACCAGCCTCTCAGGTGGTGAGAATAGATTATGCTAATTGCTGAACTGCTAGTAGTTGATAACATTGAATGGTTAAAATAGTTTGTCATATTGAACTGCCAATTAAGTGAATTAGCAATTCACTCAAAGACTGTTCACCTGTAATTAGCTTAATTTCACAGATAGATTTATATTATTTCAGGAACACAAACTTGTCAAACATATTTCTTTCTTACAATAATCCCTCTATCTTCGCTTGCATGCATGCATGCATGCAAGTGGATGGTTTTTAATTTTTTTATTGTTCATCTGACAACTTTGATGTTAAGTTTTTGAGTGTTCGTTTGTTGATTTAGCTTTCTGAATCAACTCTTCATCTCTTCTTTTCTTTGTTAAACTTCTTCAATGAATTGTTATCTTTGTAACTAATCCATTTTATTTTTATTCATGGGGTGTTTGATTTTGAAGCCCATCAAGCTAGAATTTGAAAAGGTTTATTTTCCATATCTGTTGATTAGCAAGAAGAGATATGCTGGTCTATACTGGACAAATCCAAACAAATTTGACAAAATGGACACCAAAGGTGAATAGAGCTTCTCATCCATTTGAGCTTCTTATTTATTATACGAGTTGTCTACTGATTTAATCATATCTACAGGCATTGAAACAGTTAGAAGAGATAACTGTTTATTGGTCAAGAACCTCGTGAATGAGTGCCTTCACAAGATATTAATTGACAGAGATGTCCCTGGTGCAGTTCAATATGTCAAGAACACTATTTCTGATCTTCTCATGAACCGTATGGATTTGTCACTTCTGGTTATTACTAAGGTGAGAAAATGAATTGATGAAATGTTGCCAGTTATGGATCTTTACTTATGGTCCTTAAAGAGTTCCTAAATTCTTGTGTCATCAATGAGAATTGTTTTCCTGCTCTATTTAATTGGATTAACAGGGTCTAACAAAGACTGGAGATGATTACGAAGTTAAGGCAGCTCATGTAGAACTTGCTGAACGAATGCGCAAGGTTCATTATTGAATTTCATTATCCACTCCATAGATTTTTTTAATGCATGTTTTGCCTTTTTTCCAAGTATTGTTGTCTTACTAGGAGTTTAAAAGTGGAATTGAAATCTGCAGACCTTTAAAAAACTACTTTTGTTCTTTAGATAAGTAATATGACTCTTAGAATTCCATAAAATTTCTAAAATCAGACAGGCTAAGATATTCATATTCTTGTATGAAAGTCGAAAGTCTTAATTCTGTGGATGATAGAGAAGAAAATTGGAAATAAAGCACAAATATAAGTGTGTGCTTTTCTTTATCTAAAAAGTTTTAACAAATTCTCTTTTCTGATAAATTGTTTGTCTTCACCAAAACCTGTGTACCATAGTAATTTGTTTTTCCTTTTTTCCCCTTATTTTCTTCTACTACTGCTATTTGGTCATTTTTTCCAGTCCTTTGAAATAAAAGGTAAGATTAGCTCTCTTTCTGTGTTTCAAAGGGCTGTAATAATGTTGAGAATTATTACTGGCTTATTGTTGTATTCAAAATTCTGAGTTGATATTTGTGCGTAGTGTAATCTTTTATATGTATATATATACATATACTAAAATTATAGATTACAAAGAAGCTAGATTTTTAGATTTTCTTTTTCCCTTGCTTTTTGGAATTTGAAAATGTCTTGTTTTGGAAGAACAAAATGAGATTACAAGTGTGGGATGATGTATCCTCCTAGCTAGGGATTAGTTAGGACATGATGGTATTCTGAGGTGAAAAAAAAAAAAAAAAATGAAACAAAGAGAAGAACAAAGCAATTGATGTCGTCCAATCATGTTGATTAATATTCAACAACACTTTTCTAGAAGCACTTTAAGTACCTGTCTCTTAAAAACACTGGTGGTTCTCTCCCAAAGAATATTCCATAACTGGAATGCAGAAAGCAGGCACAACTCCTAAAGAATATTTTCATTTGCAAGTTGCCTGATGTAATTTCAGGCATAAGAAAATCTTGTTACTTTTGTGATGGACAGAGAGATGCTGCCACTGCTCCAAATGTTGGGGATCGAGTACCCTATGTCATTATAAAAGCTGCAAAAGGTGCTAAGGTAATTGTTCTAGGGAATTTGATTTGTTTTCATTTTCTTATCTCATGGATTAGATTGTGTTGTATTCTGGTTTATTAAATTTGATTTGCTGCTGATAATCAGGCTTACGAGAGATCAGAGGATCCGATCTATGTTCTGGAAAATAACATACCAATAGATCCTCAATATTATCTTGAAAACCAAATTAGCAAGGTCAGTGTGGTATATAGCTAGATGCAGTGAAATAATGAAAATTCCCTCCCCGCCCCTCCCTCTAATACTTCTAATGAGAGATATTGATATTGCAGCCTCTTTTAAGAATTTTCGAGCCTATTTTGAAGAATGCCAGCAAGGAACTACTTCATGGCAGTCATACAAGATCTATTTCCATCTCCACTCCTTCAACTGGTGGCATTATGAAGTTTGCTAAGAAACAACTCAGTTGCATTGGCTGCAAAGCCCTAATAAGGTATCTTATATTTGTATTCTGCTTATTTTTCAGTTACAGCTCTTTCCACCCATAAAAGACAAATTTCTTTCCTCCACTGATACCCGATTACTTTTGGTTGTTAGTTATCTCCAATTCTCTTTGTCAACAAGATGCTTAAGATTTTTTGTTTGGATGGATTCTGTTAATTTGAACGATCACATTATTCTAATCTTACCAACTTTCTTTTTTCCCATTGCTTAAGAAGTGCTTACATGTATTGCTTTAGTTTTCTTTTCTGTTGATTTTTTTAATTTTTTTTACCTAATGTATAATGGTGAACTGTTGGGCCAGAAAGTATTCCGCCAAACTGCTCCTCAATGCAGGAATCCTTTTTCTATGTTAAGTGGAAGGAAGTGGAGACCATCATAATAAAAAGATATTTGATGTTATAGCTTCATCACAAAAAAATTCTCCCGTCTAGAGTATATATGAATTATGATCTCATATAAACTTGAATAGAAGTTTTCAGGTTCTATTATAGATTAGAGAATCTGCTAGTATCTTGAGGTTGGGTTGGGGGGGGGTCTGCTAGTATCTTTGAGGTGGGTTGGGGGAGGGGGTCGTGTTAAAATGTTGAGTTGCTTAGGCAAGGTCAATGAATATCCATTTCCTTTAGAAATCACCAATGCCTAAGTACAATGGGGGGGGGGGGTCGTGTTATGTTGAGTTGCTTAGGCAAGGTCAATGAATATCCATTTCCTAGAATCACCAATGCCTAAGTACAATGGTGTTGGCAATCTTGTCCGAGACCTTAAAGAATCCTTACCTGTGTATAATAGAGTTTCATGGTCAGTTGTGTATCCTTTTTCTATGTTCTGAGTTTTATATGAATGGTTGAATGCCAGGTTCCCACTTCTTGTACCTTTAAATGTTAAGATGCACTTGTGGAATCAACTTTCATGTCAAGTATGGGTCAGGCACTGGAAAGATTTCTTTTAAACCTTCCATTCTGTAATTGTTATTGTTCAAGTAATTTTTCTCCTTTTTTAAGCTTTCGGTGGAGAATGCATATTTGTCAGCATTCTATATGATTTTGGAAGTTCAATGGCATTTGTCTCCTTTCTCTTGTTCTGCTCAGGAACGACTATTTCTATTCGTTATCTGAGACAAAGAATGCAAAGATGACAATCTGAATTCTCACTTTGTAATACAAATCACTTTTTCAGAGTAAAATAATGCATTCACTTTTCTTTTGAACTGCACCTTATCTTTAGATGTAATGTGCTTTAACAAATCATAATTCCAGTTATCTTTATGCATTTAGTAAGTAATGTTCCTTAAATTTCCTTGCTAATAATTCTTTCTCTTGGATATTGAATTTATCTCTTCACCTGCAACAAAAAATACAGGCACCGTGCTTGTATGAGGAGACTAACACTAGTAATTTTGTTTGGACAGCAATTCGGATCGAACTCTCTGCTCGCACTGCAAAGGAAGAGAAGCAGAGCTATACTGCAAAACAGTTTCTCAAGGTAAGCACATCTCTTCTGAATTTGTTTCTCAATTGATAAATTCTGTACATTACAATTTCGTCTGAGGGAATATATAAATTGATTGCAGTGTCTGAGCTAGAGTTGCTTTTTGGGAGGCTGTGGACTCAGTGCCAAGAGTGCCAAGGCTCACTTCATCAGGATGTTCTTTGCACAAGGTTTATACTCTTCTCGTTCTTTTAAAACCATTAAACAAGAGTATTTTAATCTTTTGCAAGAATTTTCTACTCGCTCATCAGATGGCTCCTATTTCATTAAGTAAATAATAATGATAAGAATCAAAGATCAAATGTTCCATTGAAGAGCATTACTTCTCATAGTTTCTAATCACTAATTTTTTTATTCCATATTGTTTTGGTTTTAAGTAGTACTTGCTTTTTGTTCATAGTCGGGATTGCCCAATATTTTATCGAAGAAAAAAGGCACAGAAAGACATGGCAGAAGCCAAGAGGCAGTTGGATAGGTGGAATTTTTAATGCAATAACAAGGTTAGGACCTATATTCAGCACCCCTTTTTATTCACCTGAGAAATTGAAATGTTGGCATATTTGTAATATGCAAACAGGTGATGTTTCTCTTCTCACCAGGTTAAAAAAAATCAACATCCGCACGTCAAAGCAACTTTCAATGGTTCATGGTCCAAATGAACTGACAGATTGGTTTGCTATCACGAGATGTTTAAGGCAGAAATTCTATTGAGACATGAAGCATAAAAAGACAATTTCATATGATTGGCCTTCCTTTTCGCCACCAAGAAGCAGGATTTTGCAGCGTAAATTTCAAATTGGCTAGATAAGGGAGGAAAATGTCTGATGAGATTTCTGCGTTTGCTTTTGATAGTTGGGAAATCCAACTTGCGGATAAGCGTATGATGATTGCAACCCGTCCTGGTGCTGTTTATTCGCTTCTTCTTTGTTCTGATTTTTATGCCCTCATGATAGTTTTGATGTGTAGAAATGGTAGGGTCTGTGAGGTCTTGTAATTATCTTTTTCAAAGTTAATCAAGAGAGCAAGTCTTTGCTAGGGTGATCAGTAGTGAAAGCAATACATTGAGAGAGTTATTATTAACAGAATTTTCAAGTTCAAACTTTCTTTGGTTTAGACATACGCTGTATGCCTGATAGTTTATTTAAGTCACATATGTGAATGAAATATATAGCAGCATTCCTACTTCACATATGATTTTTCCCATACAAAGAAGCAGGAGAAATTGAAGTTTCACCGGATAAGAGAGGGTGATATTGGCGGCACGAAAGGAGCAAAGAGGAGGAAAAAAAAAAGAAACGGGCTAATGGACTGTTTTACTAAAAATGGAAAATTAGGTTAAGTTAAAAATTGGCTCAAATCAGTTTTGAGTTTTGACTTTTGCACTAAAAATTTGACGTTTCGAAAATCACAACTCACTTTTAGTAAACTACTTTTCCCTCTAATATTTCATAGGGCAAATATTATTATATTTAAGTTAAACTTAAAAATATTTACTGAATAAAGAAAAATTTTCTTAAAAAAAATATTTTCCTTTGTGCTTATAACTACATTTTAATCTCTCTACCAACTAAGATTCTAACCAACAATCTTTAAGATACCTTCAACAAATCTTCAATCATGGATAGATAGGATTTAATTCTCATATCTTTGTGCATGAATAATCTGCAATGTGAACTTTAACATAATAATAAATTTCAATTTAGTTGTTTTGTTACACATCAAAACCTTAAGGATAATAATATTGAGATAACAATCTCTTCCTTTCTGATGATGAAAAAATTAATAAATTGAGCAGATAAAGAAAATACACTTGCAGTTATAAACTTAGAAAGCTATAAAAGATTTTCTGATGCTGAAGGTTTAGAGCAAAAATAAATTAAGACAGAGATCTCCCTGAATATATGCATTAAAGAATATAGGGACAATAAAAGTAATGAAAAGAGCGTATGTAAAATAAACAGTATTCAGCAGAAACAATATTATAATAAAGAATCGAAGCTAAAAGCAATACTACCTAATCTACTTTTCAATACAAGCAACTTCAGATATAAAATGATTAGAATAATCAGAGCAATATGATCTAAGCAACGTAGAACAAAATATAAGACAAGTCAGAACACATGATGACATATTATATTAGCCTAAACAAAAGAAACAATAGGCAATGTAACTATTTTGTTGTCCCCTTTTTGTCATAATAAAACATGATGAATTTCGAAAATCCATGAAAATGCAACAATTAATAAAGTAGTGAATAGAGTATCGTTTCTATGAGAATTGTTTATTAAGTATCAAAGTTGTTTTAACCTATTATTATCTAAACAATGATTAAAGAGTTTATTCGAAAAATTAAACAAAACAAGTAAAATAACTAAAATTTATCACGCACTTTCGTCACCCATTTTAAAATTTTTCTTAAGTTAAAATGTTTAACTCTGAAGTTCTTCCAACTCTCTAGGTCATTCCACCAAAATGCGCCTTTAATGATTAGTTTCTCTGTTTCAATATATGATTCGATTTATTCCTTTGTCTTGCATTCCACTACCCTGGCTAGCCTCGACATCTTAGAAGCTTGTCAGAAGCTTTTAAGGGATAAACTCTACCTAGAAGCATTAAACACAATAATAAATTTTATCATGAACAAAAAAAAAATCAAATCTAACTTTATTAATTAAAATCGAATTAAGCTACATCAAATTCCCAGTATAAAAATTTAGATCATCATCATAAAAGAATTAAACTCAAGAAAACTTGTAAGTTCCAAATAACATGATAATAAATTGAAATAAAATAAATATAGTTTAAGAATAAAAACTAGTTGAAGCTTTGACTTAAATTGCTTCCTTATATATAACAAAAAAGTAACCTCTGACAATGTACAATAACGAAGTAATAAAGCAAGTCATGCAATGCGTGGACTTCGAGCTAGTTATATTTTAATTTTAAAAATATTATAACAATTAATAAATAATTAAACTTAATTAAATAACATAGAAATAATATATAATAATGTCGAATCAAATAATATACATAATTTTGTTTTTTTTAAAAAATAACATATATAATTGTTTATGCAAATATTAAGACTAGATTTTGAAGTATTAAGTTAATAAAATTAATACTTAAAATTTGTTTTTATTCGAAGAATATAAATTGGCTTATTATCACTTATTTTTATTTATTTAATATTTAAAATTAATAATAAATAAAATATAAGTTCAAACATTATAAATAAATAGTCTAAATCTCTATAAATTAACAAAATGTAAATTCGAACATTATAAACAAATAGTCTAAAATTCTTATTAATTTTGAGTTATCTTAGTTTTTTTTTTTCTGTTCATACGAATTATATATTAAACCAACTTTTCATTCGTCATTAATTTGTAATTTAGAATTTGAGACAACAATTTCACTTAATTCAATTACTCGACTTTTAATTATAAAAATAAAATGATTTGTGTTTATTAAATGTAAAAATTATATTGCTTTTTTCATTTACAAAACTCAAAAGTCAAAATTGACAAAAGTTTCAATTACTCGACTTTTAATTATAAAAACAAAATGATTGGTACTTATGTAAAAATTTTATTGCCTTTTCATTTACAAACCTCAAAAGTAAAAATTGATAAAAGGCATGTGTAAGGATAATTTTGTAATTTTAGTTTTTCATAAGAAGAAAGAAAAGATTTATTAATTAATCAAGGGATAATGTTAATTTTAATGCCTGTATTTGGTTTTATTTTGGTGCATGAACAAAAAATTGTGACAATTGAGTATTCGAACTTATAATTTTTTTTCATTTTGGTGTTTCATAATGACATGGACCACTGAAAAATATAATGAGATTGATTGTGACCCACAAACGCTTTCGTGTCCATTGGCTTGGACTAACTGATTTGACACATAGGACGCCAGTGTGGCAAAAGGGATAAAATGTCCCTTTTGTCCCTCTTTAGAATCGCCCCAAACAACAATCTGACACCCCCTTTGACTGACCTAAATCAAGATTCCATCTCTTAGCACCTCCCCTTCTTCCTTTCTCCCTCACTCTTCCTTCGTCCTTCTCAAAGATGGTGTTTTTCATTTTGCAAGTGCGGAATCACGTGCCCAGTTCGAACATCATGGACGGAGTTGAGTCTTGGAAGGAGATTTGTTGCTTGTGAGATTCAATTGGTGAGTGTGTATTTCTACTTTCCCCTTTTATTTGATTTTAGGGTTTTTACTTCTTTTCGTTATTTCTCGAAATTACTTTTTGTAATTTAAAGATTGAGCAGAATAATGGTTGCAATTTCTTTGAATGGCTTGATCCTGTTATGTGCAACAGAGCAAAGATGATTATTCCTGAATTGTTTAAGAATAAGAATGAGATGAAAGTTGAGTTGCGAAGAAGCTGAAAACAAGAGAAGTTTTTATGGGTTTGGGTTGTTTTGTCCATCAATAAGAATGAGATGAAAGTTGAGTTGCGAAGAAGCTGAAAACAAGAGAAGTTTTTATGGGTTTGGGTTGTTTTGTCCATCATTATAATTGTATTGAAATGGTGATTGAAGTAATCTGCTGTGTAGTTTATTTTTTTATTTCAAATTCAGACTAGTTAGTATTAGGATGAATTTTAGTTTAGTTAGGATGAAGCTAAAATGCAATATCCTAGTCTAAGATTGAATGCAACTATACCTGTTTATAATAATGAATCTTTTACCAAATAAAATCAATTTTGTGTTGCATAAATGTTTCCTCTAATCTGTTTGTTTAAATTTGTGAATTAGTATTACTGGTGTACAGTTTGGGTATTGGTAAAATCATGGAGAATGGATGTGAAATGGACATGAACCAAAGAAGCAAACTCTTCTATAAAATCATGGAAATGTGCACCCAAAAAATGCAAGAAAATTCTGCAGAATATACATTATGCACACAAAAAATGGACCTACAATATTCACTAGTATACAACACCTCCGGTTCTTCCTACATTTTTTGTTTTGAAACTAACAGTAAAGGAACTTGAACATGTCAAATATAAGCCTCAAAACCTTTAAAAGCATTCAAACTAACAGTAAAAACTTGAATTTCAATTGAACAAACGTAAAAACTTGAATTTCAATTGAACAAACAACATTCTCAAATTGAATGACTATTAACATCAAATGTAATGTCTAAAATCTTGAATGACAAAATTACTAAAATGTAGACTTGTGGCTATTAATATTGCTCAAGCCAATACAAATAGAAAGAAAACATCCTATTACAATCTAATTTCTTTTCACTGATTCTTGGGTCTGCATTACATCATCGAGCTTCTCTCTATTGGTAGTGTTGTTCTTAGTGAGCCTGCACTTCTTGCAGTTCTACTTTATATTTTTTTTCCTTCTCATTTCTTGTAGCCTATAAATGTCAAATATGCACAACTTGTAATACCCTCAATTTGACAGTCTCGAATATTCTGATTACTATGGTAATTGCTATTCGGAAGGATAGAATAATTGAAATTATTTAATTTGTTAATGAGGAACTATTACTTATAAGATATGATGTTTAATGGAAACTAATTTTGTTATGAAATCAAATTAGAAGAATGTTAAATGAGTTTAAGCTTTGATGATGATAAACTAGCACGAGAAGCTCCTTAAACTAGCACCATGATTTAGCATTTAATGGATTAATGTTAAATCGCCAAAGATATTTGATTAAGGTTTAATTGTGTATGTATATATCCTCAATTTGGTAGTTCTTGGTATTCTAGCTTGTTCAGTAATTTCGATTATCTGAGTAATCTAGAAATTGGGAATGATGAGAAACACTATAGTTAGAGGGTATTAATATTAATTAAATAAAAATTAAAGTATTTATGAATTAATTTGAAAGATTAAAGGGAATTGAAAATGAGTTAAAGAAGAATGATTTCCTGGTAAAGCATAATTTTACCCGGAAGTCCCAAAAATTGATAATTTTAGTATGATGTTGCTTAAACATGGCTGGAATTGTTAAATAAACTTGGTTTAGATCTAATTGGGACTAAATTAAAGTAATCAAAAAGATTTAGGTGCAATTTAAAGTAATCAAAAAGATTTAGGTGCAATTGCAAGAAAAGAGAATCAAAGGAAGGATTAAGGTGCAAAAAAAACAATTAAAGGACATGGAGAGAATTACCATGAAAGGCTTTGATTGCTACCTATTTATGATGAGTCAT